GATGCAGACTGCAGTTTGTTCTTATTAAAACAATGAAAATGTTTGGGTGGTAATAATGAAGGCATACCCTCCCACTTAACAGTCTGCTAGAATAAAGAAAAGGTGATGCCTGTATCAGAGTCTCCAGAAAAGCAAAAAGTAGGAATATGATATACATTTTGCTAAAACAAATATTGCAAAATACATTCCTAAATTGTCTGTGATGGCTCTCATATGTCCAGGACATGGTATAGAAGTAATAGTCATATTCACTGGACTTGTTCTGTACGTTTGAAGATGTTTCATGGCTTATCCAAGACATCTCTTAAAGTGGTTCTAAAGGCTCAAGGTTTTTTACCTTCATGCATTCTATGCATAAAGGTAAAAAACCTTTTGTGTGCAGCGGCCCCCCAATCCTTACTTGAGCCCTCTCCAATCCAGCGATGTTCACAATAGCCTCGGCTGTATGGGGACTCTCCCCCCTCATTGGCTGAGACAGCAGCGGGAGCCCATGAGCCAATGAGGAGAGAGCGGGTTGGGGTGAGACTAAGCCACAGCTCTGTGTGTCCAATGGACGCATAGAGCAGCGGCTCAAGAGCAAGCATGTAGCGGTGCCCCCAGGGAAAGCAGATTTCCCTGGGGGCACTGCTCGAAAGGGAGGAGCCAGAATGCCAGCGGGAGACCTGAAAAGAAGTGGATCAGAGCAGGTAATTATGACATGTTTGTTATTTTATTAAACAAATTTATTATCATTTTAAGTTCTTATGGAAAATACCCTAGCATTAATATGCACACAGGTAGCACAGGTACATTCATTCAGTTATCAGGGAAAGGCAAATTGATTGTCCAAGAACAACAGGATGAGACTGTGGAAGTTTACATAATCAGGCTGAGATGGTAACAGCAAGCACAGCTTCTAAAGATGAAGAACACAGATATCTGAAGTGTGAATTGAAAGCTTGTGGTCTTGTTTTTGTTAAAACAAGGTCAAGCAAACATACAGGACAAAAACACAGCTGGAGTGGTAATTTTACAAGTCAAGACTCAAGTGGTTTTCCTACACCTTAAAGTGGTTGTAAACCTCTGACATGAATAATGAACAAAGCATATCTTTCTATAGTGTGATTTATGTCTGCTGCCTGCCTGCTCTGCTATCTGCATGAGGTATTTCTGACAGCTCATGCCAACTCCAAGGGATAGAGGATGACAGGGGAAAGGGAGCTCCAGTACACAGCCTGTGATGGACGGCCTCAGCTTTGCAAGTTTGCCTATGAGTTTGTGTGTAGGAGGGTGGGTCCCATTCCTCCACTCATATTTCCGGCTACGGTCAGCTCCCTGCTATGTGCTCTGTGGTGTGTGAGGTCAGATCCCCACCCCCTGCCTGCTAGAGCTCAGAGAGGCTGTGTAAAATGTGTGCTTTAGATGGCTGTAGAGAAGAGAGAGTTCAGAAAAACAGGTACACCTTATATAGGAGGATTTGTTTCATCTCTGTGTATCACTTGAGGCCAGTTGCTTCATTGGGTATATGTAAGGGGTTACAACCACTTTAAGGAGAAAGGACATTTGGAGGACTGTGTTGTGCATATTCTGGAATGAGAGAACAATAGGTACACAAGAGGCATGAAAGGTTCACACCTCCCATCTCGTTCTTGGAAAACCAATGACTGCTTTTACATGATGATTGGATTAAGGCAGCCTTTGACAATTTTAACATTGAGATTCCTGAAAAAAACTTTCCAACCTTAGGGAGCCCCTACTAATAATTACTATATGTACAGCTGATGGAACATTCGCGTGATGGTCAGTGAGAAGAATGATCCTTACATTTGTGATCAGTGGGAAGAATCCCCCCTTCACTTACAGATGGATCATTTTTTGTGTCAGTGGTTACTTATCAGAGGGTGTCACTGTTTAGCCTCCAGTTTCCTGCCTGTGAAATTCTTAACTTCTTACTACAGTGCTTTTGATGAATCTGTGATTTTGTTCACCTGAGTTGTTAGCTTCTGTGTTCACCTATGAGCATCCCCTGCTCTTCTGTGGATTTATATCCCTTTCCCTTCTATCACTTCCTGGCCTGCCTCCCAGTCTTCTTCCCTATATAAGACATGCTCAGTGCAGCCCGCGTTGCCTGAGCAACTTTCTAGTTTCTCCATTTGCCTTGTATTACCTGTATTCTGTGTCGAACGTCCCGCGTACCTACCATGGCTTCGTTTACCATTTGTGCTTGCCTGCAAAGCGCCCTGACCTTGGCTTGTTTCCCAGATCTTCATTTGTCTCTTGCCGCCTGTACTCTGCACATGTGAGTGGTCTCTACAGTACATTTTCAGCTGGGCATACCTTGGGGCTGTGGCCTGGTTCCAGTTTGCTGCAAGTCCATTCCCACCATCAGGGTCCCTGGTGAAGAAGCAGGCTGGAGCTTCGACTCCATGCCCTGGGGAACCCCGAGTTGGCTTCTACAAGGCCTCACTACCACTAAAACCTGACAGAGGGGCACAAAATGTCAGTTTCTCAAGGAAGGCCCAACAACCTCTGAAGGAACCCTAGGAGTCAACATAACCTTGGTTGAAAATGGGAGGATTAGGAGGTCTGTGCTACCTGTGTGGATATAAATGCTGGGGTATGTCCCTGGAATTCATCAGAATTGAAGAAATGGTTCAGATAACCTACGAAACATCTCCAACATTAGACTTACCTTTTATTGTATGGGAACATTCTCTTTGCAAAATATTAAGTTTGCTTTAAGGCCCCATTCACACTTGTGTATTGGGCTGATTGCCCACAGGAGTCTCGACAGAGTTTTCTGTAAACAGCTGAGAGTGGGAAGCCCCATTCAAAGCAATGGGAGGTTGACGTTGCCCGCAGCCAATCTCATATAATCAGTCATGCAGCGATTACCTGCAGATGATCAGCCCTGGAAGCCGGCTGTCTGCATCCAGGGCCAATCATACTTGGGTAATTGCTGCATGTCCTATTACACGTGAATACCTGCAAATGCTATTGAGCTCTTATAGCTTTTATTGGGGCTTCCTACCCACAGCTGTTTACATGAAAGCCTGCTGAATCTCCCATGGATAACCATAGTGAGCCCCCTACCTAAATATGAAGGGGTCCAAAAGGACAAAAAAAATTTAAAAGGTGGATTTCATAAATTATTAATAACCTTTACGGAAACGTTTTGGAAGATTTTCAGATCTAAAGGCATCTGAGTAAATTTTGTGAGTGTAATTTTCTGTCCCTTGCATCTGCTTCTCTTGAAATGAGTACTAGCATAAAATAATCATTTTTAGTCAGTTCAGTTGACTACACAGAATTTGAACCAGCTGTTCAATATGTGCTAACTGCTTAACTGCAGGCTGCACAATCTGCCACAGGTTTGGCCAGCATCCATAATGGTATATGTGTGCACCTGTTTCACTTACTGGGATTAAATATGTAAAACCAACATTTCATATTTCTGCTATATGCCTGCTGTACCATGTACGTGCACAAAAAAGTATCCTATTCTCTGTATTGCTTCCTTTGTGTGAAATCCCTGGTGTTCCTGCCAGTCTCTCTGCTTTCCTATTAAACGCTGACCACACTAGGCATGACTGCCCAGCATGGTCAGTTCTCTAGCTGTGCTAAGAACTCAGCCTGCTCTCCACCAATGAACAGACGTGTCCTGACACGCCCCCTCTGCATAGCCATTCACTGGGAAGTTCAGTGTGCTGCTGTGTCTCCACCCTCACCTCTTTATGGAGCTGAGGACAGAAGGTATGTGATCACTTATTATAAAAAAAAAAAGGGGGGAAAAAGGTGTTTGTTTTTTTTATATTCTATACACAAATGTTTTACCTTTCATTTCTATTTTAAACTGTATTAGTTGTTTAGGTGAGGGTTTACATATACTTTAATCGGTTACTGCCCCAGCATGTGTGCCATCAGGAAGAACAATGCCTTAGCAAAACTGTTTTGCATGAGCAATTATAATGTGGTGGGGGGAGGGGGGTATATGTCCTAGGCTGTTATCTAGTCAGAAGCTCAGCTTGCCTTTTAGTATCTGATCTTGTATTACTAAGCTTAGCTTGTCCTCTGGACAATGATTCCCCTTTGTCTGCCACAGTCCGAACTTTTCGCTTGTGGTTCCAGCCCTGTCCTGCCACCTACACTGCAGCTAATGTCTGCTTATAACCAGTTTTGGCCTTAGGCTATACATGTACTATGCCTGTCCTCGACAGTTTGGTACTTTGAATCATTTCCTGAAAGCTGATGCAAGTGGGGTGAACAGTGGGGGCCACATATATTAGCTCCAGTACTGACCTAGTAGTTATTTCAGACTCACGTGCAGGTTATGATACACCCAGTTTACAACTATCTTCCATCCCATCTATTTTTGTCTATGCAGATGTCTGCCTGATTCGAAAGAGTGGTGGAAGCCCATACTCAGAATAATTATTGATAGGGAAGGTCTAAAATAGTTTATAAATGATCACACACATGGCATCTTTGCACACAAACTCAAAATTTAAAGTAGGTGCTGAATGGTACTGATAGTTCTTCAGCACAAACTTCCTAGTTTAGATTTAATAATTCTTTAATAGCATCTAAGGAGGCAAAATAGCATTGTGCAGTTTTCTTAGCGACTTCTTCAACCCTTTTTACACATGGAGAACACTTTAATTGTATACATTTGACTCAGTCCTTTGGCTAGATCAGCCTTGTTTTCTAGTTGCAGTGAAAGAAAATCCATGTATATAGTCAAATGCAATTAAAAATAAGTAAAGAAGGCAGCAGTAATGAAGGGATATTAATCAATCCCTATACACTGTATGTCCAAGCAGTTTCATTCTCTATCCTCATAGCAGTGTTTTACATGTGGTCCATTGGAGGCACTCAGAGAAGTCTAGTCATCTGATCTTGATCCCATCATCCTAAGAGACTCTTTCATTAGACATTTATGTGAATGGAAGCCACAATGACAGGATGAAATGCAGCTTGTCCATAGGAAGCTTTAGATTTACAAGACCAGTATGTGGAGCCAATTACGGGGCAGATTTGGAAACCATCTTCTCCAAGAGGTTCATCATCCTTTCCTGGAGCTGCAAACTCTGTACTTGGATGATGTTCTGTTGGTCCAGAATCCGCCGTACTTCTCGACAGGTTTCCTCCATTGCCCGGCTCAACCGCTTCTGTTCCTCCAACATGCTCTCCATGATCTTCAACTTCTTCTTCTGAAAGCTACAACTGTGCACTTTCCTTTTCTTCATGGACCTCTCACCAGACCTGAGACAAAGAGTGACAATTTATTGACAATATTATATATATAATACACACATTGCTTTTTTTTTTTCAGCTGGGACTTAGTGGAACTCAGTTCTACCACATCTGGCTCAGGCCCATTATTCCCTGCTCACCGCTATCGATTGTAAACACAGTAGTCCAGCTTCTGTGTTTGCAAGTGACAGCTTGTCTCCCAATGGCTCCCACATATCTGATCTCCTGATTGTTTCTTACTGAGTGCAGGATGGGGACAAGGGAGATGCAAGTGCCGTAGCGCAGTGCTGTTGTCAACACCCCGACTAGATGATCTCCTTGGAAATGAAAGAATTGGAGCCATTTACAGTGTGCAGGGAAGTACTAGGGCCATCTGGGTGTTTCAGCGTAATACAGCAACAAAAGTTAGACATGTGGAAGATGGTGGAGCTTTTAAGGAAGGGGGGGGGAGAAGGGGGCAGTGGAGTGGTGTTGCTTGAGATGTGGATAGGGAGATGCAGAGGTAAGCAGCTGTGGAAGAGGGCTGAACTTTGAACTCTTTACACAGTGCACCCCTGAACTCTGCACTATGTACACAGTGCACCCCTGAACACTGCACTATATACATATTGCACCCCTGAACTCTGCCCTCTATACGTAGTGCACCCCTGAACTCTGTGTGTGTAACACCATTCCCCCCCCCAACTCTGCACTCTGTACGTAATGCACTCCTGGTATTTAATGCCCCCTTAAGACCCTCCCATGGTTTATTTAATTGACCACACCCACTATTTGATGTGGCTTAGAGGGGGGGGGGGTGTGGGAGGGGGTTTGGTCATGGTTGAGTTCCTATTTTCCGAGAAATATATATATAGGTAGAACATTAGCTAGAGACAACTCCCAGTCACGCTGTGTGCACAGCAACCAGTAACACAGGAAAGACTTGTGTTTTTTTTTGATAGTGCAATAAAGTGTTGGAATCTCGGGAATGTTTTCATGGTTGTCTATATCCCATTAGGTCCAGTGAAAACACAAACAGTTTGGAGAAATCTCCATAACAAACTACAGATACTGTACAGGTTTTCTAATCTTTCCCCACTCTACTAAGAAAAATGCTGTGTGTGCTTCTTTGAAGAGATTTCCCCTCAATGTTTCCACAGTAACCACATAGTAAATCTGTGACCAACTGGAACACAGACATCAATGAAAACCTGACAAAGGTTCTAACTCTTCTGAACTCTAACCGGCATAAAGTCAATAGTGTGACAGAGATGCAGGGAACCTGTATTTTGTCTTCACTCTTTAGATCAGGATCCCAATCAGAATGCCCCCTTATATTGGGTGTCCTCATCAGAATCTCCCCTTACATCAGGTGTCCTCATTAAAGTCCCCCCTTACATCAGGTGTCCCCATCAGAACCACCCTTATATCAGATGTCCTCATCACAGCTGTCCCTTACAACAGGCGTACCCACTTATATCAATTATCCTCATTAGAGTACCACTTTACTTCAACTGTCTGCATAAGAGAGCCCGCTTACATAAATTGTCCCCATCGGAGTGCCGCCTTAAACTGTACACAGCAGAGTACCCCCTTACATCAACTGCCCCCTCAGAGTGACTCCTTATATCATGTGTCTCCATCAGAGTCTCCCTTACACCAAATGCCCCCATTAGACTGACTTGTGGATCAGTGGATGCACTCTTAGAGACCTGGGAAGGGGGGGGGGATCATATTGGGGGGGGGGGGGCAGCCCACCTCAACACCCCCTAGATCCAGACCTGCTCCAAAATGATCAATAGCAATACTGAGGGGACAAACATCTCACTAATCTGCTAATTGCAGCTTTTCCTGGATGTAACAGGGAATTGTCAGTATATCTGGGACCCTACAGCAGCGGTCCATATAGCCACTTAGTTCCCTTCTGGCACTTGCACAAACAATAGTCCACAGCAAGGTCTCAAAATCTTTACTCACAGTGTCCCAGAAGCTGTCTACCACCCAGCATCCTTAGTGAGGGAGATAAGATTCTTCTTCAAACCAGGACTTTAGTTCAGTGCTGTCCAGCAAACATCCATTGTCAATCTTCTCTAGGCCCTCAGTCTAGCAGCTGCTAAGGCCCAGACTGCAATTTCTTGTCTCAATAAAACTGCCTCCAGGGTGGCAGCCCCAGGAGAACTGAACCTTCCCTAGAGATAAAAGAATACTCTGGCAAGGCTTCCCAAACATGTTTCACCTCCCCAGCCTCCTTCCAGGGATTGACTGGGAAGTGCTAAATATTCACACCGATCATTGGAATCTCCCAGCTCTATACTCTGAAAGCTTCTTTCAAAGGCAGGTAGCAGGAATAACACCTTCACGAAACCCTGCACTGACCAAAACAATCAAACACTGATCCAGTCACTACAGTGAAGCCAGGAACTAAATTTAACCTAGCAGCCTAACTAGAGGAGGGCACTACATGTGGAAGCCCAGATTCTAGATCTAAGTGAGCAGTTTGTAAAACTGGAAGTATTGTGTCTCTATACTAGGAAAAAGGTTGATCTTAATGAGCAGTGGACAAATGTGGTTTGTGAAAGAAATGATAGAAGATTGGATTGGAGGAAATTCTAAAGTAGAATCTGGGGGAACAGGGGAGGCTAGACTTAAAGAATAAGCAAGACAGGAAAATTAGAAAGTAGGCATTACTTGTGGAATATAGGGAATTATTTAGGTATACTTGCTATGAAAAAAAAAAAAAAAATAAAAAGTGGCAGTAAAAATTAAAACTGCACATTAGTGAATTCAAGAAGTCTTGCAAGCACATGCATCAGGAGAAAACAAGGCAGAAAAATAGACAGGAGGATTCGACTTTGGTCTTTTTCACTTGTATATGATAGTTGGCCATTATTGTCCAATAAAACCAGTCAGTCAAGTTTGTGATATTTCTGGAACAGTCTGAATCATTTGGTTGTCTAACTTCGTGTCTTTTCAAAATGAACTACAAAAACAAGTTGTGTCTATGGTCATCTTATTACTGGGATTAAAGAAAAATGTCTAAACATTCAGGAACGAAACTTATATTGGCTGGGATCAAAAGTACTTGATGGTGCCACTCCAGGCTGAAGTGTAGAGCCCCCTTGGCACTCAGGATAATAGGGATACCAGTGTACAAGCTCATCCAGTGAGAGATGAACATTACAGGGTCATAGGGTCTCCTATGATTAAGCCCCAATGGGTGGGGCAATACATTTCAGGGGGCATGACCTGAGAAGCAGCATGAAATGAGCCTTTCACATGTACACATCCATACTAGGACTGGTTAAGGCAAGCGGCAGTTTCACGCTAAAAATATATTGCCTGGGATAATCCTTTGTTGTGTGTCACCTCCAACTCCTGGGTAAACACACCAGATATCAAAGTGACGTGTACAGTACTTTACCTTTGCTTGTATGACTGCAGACTTGTGGAGCTCTCTGAATTGTCATCCTGGAAACAACCCTCGTCATATGTGAATTGGCTGTAGGGCAGGTAGAGGGGTGTAGATTTGACCGAAGGAGATTGCGAGGCATCAGTCTGAGATGTGGAAGGCCCAGGCTGTAACTTCCCATCTGTCTGTTCCGGCAGTTTAGAGAGGATGCGGTCAATGGTTTTAAAATAAGGCCAGTCGGGGGGAACAGATTCACCATCCGTCATACATTTTAGCTTTCTAGATAAGACACAGTGATAGAGAAGTGACATTAAAAAATACAGCATTTCCAGATTTACAATCTTCGTTTACAAAACGAAATTGCAGCCAGTCCTGGAATTATCCCCTAATAGTAGTGACAATGTATATATTATTATTAATGATCGAGTGAATTTTCCCGAGGAGCATGAAGACACTGGAAGTTGACTTACTAAAACTGGAGAGTGCAAAATCTGGTACAGCCCTGTATGGTAGCCTGGAAACCAATTGGTTTCTATGCAGAGCTGCACCAGATTTTGCACTCTCCAGTTTTAGTAAATCAACCGGATTTTGTGGGGATTCCCTCATTGATTGGCCCCTCATGGGATGGCCAAATGCTCCCCTCGATAGTCCTCGTGCAGATTCATGTACTTTAAGGTATGATAATTGTTTACTCAATCTGAAATGTAGATATTTGATAGCTTATATAAAATTGCTTACCAGCTTATATCCTCTTATATAGAAGTCTTCTCACAGCTCCCGAAGAAGCGATATTATCACAAAACATGTCGAGCTACTACATTTACCACTACCGGAGTACCCTCTCTTAATTTGTGCCGAGTTATGGTATATTTTTCATTGTGGGACCTATTAGCAGTACATGAATCCGCACTGATTATACATTATTGTATGTTACAGGGGTAGTATATACTCTCTGTAGCAAGTTTATAATTGTATCATTTTACATCTATGTATGTAGAATAAAGTGATATTCTTTTATTAATCATTGTTGTAGTGCCTATAAAGGCCATAAGGGTCTCTTTCTTCCAATATCATTTCACACCAAATCAATGAATGGTTCTGTGTATGGACTGAAAACGTATAGTAGGTAGACATCCTCAGTAGAGGGCAAAGCATAGGTTGGAAAACCCGTAAGAAATTATGTTTGATTATGCTTTTACTTATACCATTCATTTTTTTTATACTTTTGATTATTTGAATTTAAATGTGATCTCTTGAGTACTGCTCTGCTGTAAGTTCCAGAACATGCTCAGTTAGGTGATTATGGCAAAGGTCTTATTGCTCCATTAAACCCTCACATTAGAGAAAGAGGCTAACCCGGAACACATGGCGGCAATTAGCTTTATAGAAAATATAATGTAAACGTATTCCAGGAAACCTGTAAATCCCTATTTGTCCAGGAAATGGAGGGGGACCAGGGGCGGACTGACAACTCATGGGCCCCCGGGCAATAGGGGATCATGGGGCCCCGGACAATAGGGGATCATAGGGCCCCTGTGTCCTTGCCCAAACTCAAAAAAGCCTATGAAAAAGGTACCAGGGGCATCTCATGGGGCCCCCTACTGACCCCGGGCCCTCTGGCAGTGCCCGAGTTTCCAAATGGTCAGTCAGCCCCTGAGGGGGACCCACTCTTGCAGCTCCCAAGTGCTCTCAGTACAGTGTGTCCAGATTTCACTTGCAGCACCATTCGCAGGTGATGCTGGGAACTGTGGTACAACTGTAAACTGGTTCTCCTGGAACACAGCTATATTTTACTGGTCATACTTCAGACCTGTTTTTTTTTTTTTTTAATCAGATCTTTTTTTATTAATTGTAGTATGGATCCATGTACAAATATAATCAGACAACTACCATCTCCAATGGAGTGTAGCCTTAGTATCATACTTCAGACCTTTTATTTCAATGTTCTTAACCTCCCTAGCGGTCTGATTATGTCCATATTTCTGTGCTCAAAGCGGTACTTTTTTTACATGGAAATATGTATTTTTTTTATTGTAGGTCTGTAATTTTTAGGAATAGCTCACTGAAATCTGTCCGAACAAGAGTCTAGTAAACATGTATGTTACAATTTGAAACACGAAATCATAAATTATAATTTAATAATCATAAAAAATTATAATATAATAATAAAAAAAATTTAATTCAATAATATAATCAAACCCAAAAAACACAAAAATTTGAAATATAGCGCCAAGTTCGCACAACTGAGCAAAGTCACAAAAACGTTTTCGGTGTCTGATGACGAATTTCCCCACGAATCATTATCACTCAATTCTGCTAGTGGTTCTAATTTATTATCGCTGTTCTCTAGCTGGTCTAAAACTGCTTTTGACCTAAAGGGACGCGCTTTTTGATGCCATGGACGTTTCTCAGTTTCCAGGCAGAAAGAACAGTAAAAATGCAGGCAGGGCACAGGACAAAGCACTCGGGACAAAATGTATGTGAAATGGTTTGATACAGTAATGTTTTACTATGTGATTTTAGTGTATTTAGTGAATGTCACTTTTTGTCATTTTCAAATTTCCCGCCAGTTCCGTCCTCGTACGTCCCAACGTCGCAGGGGACGGAACCCAGAAGACAGGTGCCGGCATCCGCCGGAGGACATTGCCGGGGATACTGCAGGAGGGACATTACAAAGGACAAGGTAAGAGAAGAACAGATCCCGGAGCAGCGCCGCATGGTAAGCCCGAGTGTAGCTCGGGGTTACCGCTTTTGGTACTGAAACTTTACCCCGAGCTACACTCGGGAATAACGCTAGGGAGGTTAAGTGTCAAAAAATGTCTTATTCATCTGTATTCAGTAATTTAAGGCAAATTAAAAATGTCCCCATGTCTTAAAGTGTTACTAAACCCACAACAGTAACAATCAGTGTGTATATATAGTAAAACATGCTCATTATACTCACTGTGGAACCTAAGGGTGTTTGATCCTGTCTTCTCTTATTCTTCCCTTCTACTCTCCCCAATCCGTCTGCTGTTAGAACAGAGCCTTGGGGGCAAGCTGCACATGCTCAGTTTGGTATGAATTGATAGAGAGATTTTTTTTTTTCTTTGGCCTTGTGCTGATCACATGCACTCCCATCAGCACTGTCCAGTGAGAGGGTCAAGGGTTATGCAACCTTATAGGACAATCAGGTGAGAATGAAAATCCCCCTACAAGCTTTAACCTGTGTTCTGCTGGATACTGATAGAAGTCACAAGATTGCTGTAACTGCTGAAGAGCAAAGATATTTAGCAGTTTATATTTACAAAAATAATTGCATCTCCATATTCTGTGTACTGTGGGAGACCAGATATAGTGAATGCAGGGTCCTGGGTCTAGTAACACTTTAATTTTTAAGCATTGCACCACAACCTACCTCAGTGCAGCTCTATAGTGTGAAGAAAGCATATAGAGAACAGTTGTTTTCTATGTGCCCTTGGATTGAGCCTGTGCTGATCTGTGCAGATCAATGCAACTCAACAGACATGGTCTGCATGAAGGAATAAACAAGAGAGTGTTGGGAGCTCTAATTACTTCAAAAAGCAGTTGCAGTAGTTGTTTAGAGCTTCTAAGGCTAGGTTCACACCTATGCAGTTTGCGTTTGATCTGTTTCTGAAGTGCTTTTTTGCGGTGCGTTTTGCGTTTTTGCACATGTAGTTTTGACGCATTTTTGATGCGTTTTTTTTAAAAAAAAATTCTCTTGTTGCTAGGCAGCTTAAAACTCATCAAAAATGCTTCACAAACACACAACATGCTTTTCTGCAGTGTCTCCATTGAAATCTATAGAACTAAAAACACAACTTTTTGCGTTTAAAAAAGACCTTGACCCTTTCCAAAAAACGCACCGGGTGAAAAAACGCAGAGATGTGAACGTGTCCCAGAGGAAATCATGGTAAATGGACTGCAGTGTGTTTCTGCAAAACGCTGTAGAAAATGCTTAGGTGTGATCCAAGACTAAAGGAAAATACCTGCTAAATCCATAAGAGCGTCAGCATGTCTCAATGACCTCTGCATGACTCAGTAAAATGAAGTTCTTCATATTGGTCCCACTTCAAGAAACTACTCTTGCTAGGAGACTTTGTATAGAAGGAGTTTCTGGTAACAATCAGTGGAAAATAAGGTGTAGATTTACTAAAACTGGTGCACTCGGAATCTGGTGCAGCTGTACCTGGTAGCCAATCAGCTTCTAACTTCAGCTTGTTCAGTTAGACTTTCACAATAAAACCTGGAAGCGGATTGGTTTCTGTGCAGAGCTCACCAATGGCAGCTCTTTTATTTCTTTCAAGACACTTCCACTTAAAGCAGTTGTAAACCCTTACATATATCAAGTGAAGAGACTGGCCTCAGGTATTACACAGAGATAAAACAACTTCTAAATAAGTTGTACCTGTTTATCTACAGCTTTCATTGCCCTACATTTATTAAAAGTGCAGAATTTACACGAAATATCTCAGCTCTGAAAAGCAGGGGGTGGAGAGCTGAAGTTACATCAGTGAGAACTCTGAGAGCTGATTGGAGGGAAGGGACTACCCCCCTTCGCACAGCACATAAGCTGTCAATCTCAGACTGTGCCCTCCCATGTTACCATTTTTCTCATGGTGTCAGGAAAACTTATCAGAAGTGACTAATGCTGATTGCAGAGGAACAAGGCAGCAGACAGAAATTACACTTAGTGCTCTGGATTGAGACAAGTCCACACTATAGAGGGATATGCTTTGTTCATATTTCATGCCTAAGGTTTACAACCACTTTAAAATAAAACCTGTAATAATTACTAACAATGTAATATAATCTAGACATTTTTCAGCAGGCATCATAAGGTGCCACATCCTATTATCATAGCTTTATCTACTTTCTAGTGTGCCTACAGAGGCACCCTATTTCTTATTTATAAAAAAAAAAAGAAGGTATTTATACAGAGGTAGACATGCTTTGCCCTCAGTGTGACAATGCTTGGGTCTGGTATTGGGCACTATAATATAAGAGGACTGTGGGAAGCATATGTTAGCACTCTCTATACCTGTTATCTCAGGGTGGCGTTTTGAGGAAAGGTTAGGTTAATCGTACTTCTACTAAATTACTTTTTGTACTGTTTTGAATTCTGTAGTCAGTATTGGGCTGTACTCAACATAACCATACCTCAACAGGAGTGTTCTTCTAAACTCAGAGTGTATTTCCTCTGCCACATGTTGTTCGGCCTTACTCCCGCAGGGTGTCCTAGAGAGGTATGTTCTGTGTTATTGGTTTTGATAGGCTAGCCAATCAGTAGGCCTGCAGAACCTGCTTCGCTTACTGGGAGAACTATAAAATACCTGAGAAACTTCCTATTGTGATTCTTCCCTCATGGACCTCTGTATTACAACATTACTCTGTATTACAACATTGTCAGCCTAGTAATTTGACCTAGGCTTAAGGCCTAGGCATATGGTGGGATGCAGAAGTCTCCCCTCCTGAAACCCTGAAGGTGCTTGGCTGTGGAGAAAGACGAGAACATAAGGCCTGGAGGAAGCAAGCTGCAACTGTCCCCCATATATAGCCTTGTGGTGAAGTATGGTGGAGTGGAAAGTTGTACACAGGAACCATTCCATGCTGTTCTTCCCTGGAACTGAGTTACTGCTTGATCCTTGTCACCATTGAGCCTTCGCTCTGACTAAGTTGAGCCAGAACAGTCTGTGATCTGAAGGTAACCACTAGATACATTTGAAAGAAGCTTTGAGAGATCTGGAAGAGAATGAGGCCTAGCTTGATGTGTATATACCAATGTGCAGTGGGGTTTCCTGCTCTGTACCTCATCCTCCTTCCCATATTTCTCCTTTGCAAAAACACTTTTTCTATTCAAAATGCACTGAAGTGACTGGTGCCCATTCATTCTAAACCACTCTTTGCAAGAGTGCGTCTGGGACTTTATTGTAAGTAAATGTATTTGGAGCATCGTTAATGTAGCTGTATGATAGCTGAAGATCAATATCTATGCATAATCATTGAAGATGAGTACACAGAGAGCTACAGTATCAACCAGTACAAGTGGAGACACTGGAAGCTAATCCTATGTGAAAGACTACACACAGAGAGGATATTTACACAGATCAGTCATACATTATGACCGCTGACAGGTGAAGTGAATAACATTGATTATCTTGTTACAATGGCACCTGAAAGTGGGTGGGATATAATAAGTGAACATGTTGTCTCTGAAGTTGACATGTGGATAACAGAAACAAGGGGCAAATGTAAGGCTTTGAGTGACTTTGGCAAGGGCCAAACTGTAATGGCTAAATTACTGGCATCTTCAAAACTTCAGCTCTTATAGGACGTTCCTGGTCCAAGGAAAGAAGCCAGGCAGACCGGTGACAGGGTCATGGGCAGACATGGCTTATTGATGCATGTGCAGAGCAAAGGCTGGCCGTGTAGTCTGATCCAATAGAAGAGCTACAGTAGCTCAAATTGCTGAGAAAGTTAATGCTGGTTCTGATAGAAAAGTGTCAGAAGACAGTGCATCGCAGTTTTTTTCTATGTATGGGGTTGCGTAGCCATTGAATGGTCAGGGTGCCCATGCTGACCTGTGTCCACAGCCAAAAGTGCCTACAATGAGCATCAGAACTGGACCATGGAGCAATGGAAGAAGGTGGTCTGGTCTGATGAATCACAATTTTACATCATTTGGCTGGCTGGGTGT